TTCTTTCCTTCATTCTCTCTTGCTCTCTCTTTTCTCTTTCTCTCTCTCTCATTCTCTCCCTCTCTCTGGTTCTCTCTCTCTCTCTCGTTCTCTCTTTCCCTCTCTCTCTTTCTCTTTTTTCTCTTTGTCTCTTTCCTTCATTCTTTCTCTCTCTCATTCTCTCTTGCTCTCTCTCTTTTTTCTCTTTCTCTCTCTCTCTTTCTCTCGTTCTCTCTCTTTCCCTCTCTTTTTTCTCTTTGTCTCTTTCCTTCATTCTCTCTCTCATTCTCTCTTGCTCTCTCTCATTCTTTCCCTCTCTCTGGTTCTCTCTTTCTCTCTTTCTCTTTTTCTCTCTCTCTCTCATTCTCTCCCTCTCTCTGGTTCTCTCTTTCTTTCTCTCTCTTTCTGGTTCTCTCGCTCTTGTTCTCTCTCTCTCTCTCTCCCTCTCCCTCTCCTCTGGGGTCTTCTAGTCCAGCCCCCTGCTCAAGCAGGAGACCCTCTGCCATTTCAGACGAGCGGCTGTCCAGTCTCTTCTCAAAGAGCTCCAGTGATGGAGCGCCCACAGCTTCTGGGGGGGGGGGAATGTTATCCCATTGATTTGATTGCTCTCACTGTTAGGAAGTTTCTCCTTAGTTCCAGGTTGCTTCTCTCCTTGCTTCGTCTCCATCCCTTGTTTTCTTTTCTTTTTTTTAAAGATTTTATTGATTTATTGATTTTTCTCTTAAATACCTATGTTAGTTTTTCAACCAACGAGCTGTCCGGAATCAACAACACTCATATGTACATATTCCATTCCTAATCCTTCATTCTTTCTTCTAGCCAATAGTAGAATAAGTCCCAAGTTTGATAGTCGTCTGTATCTTCTTTATCCTTCAATCTCAAAGTTAAATCTGTCCATCTCCGCGCATTCCAATATTTTTCTGATCATTTCTTCTTTGGTGTTAATACTTCCATTTTTCCAATATTGCGCAAAAGTTATTCTTGCTGCTGTAATGACGTGTAAAATCAAATGTAGGCTTTGTTTGTTAATCCCTTGTTTTCATTGACGTGGTTGAGTTATATAGTACGAGGTGGAAGATGGGAGCTTGTCTCCCAAAGCAGGAATGGCCATCATTCCCAGCGGCTTCCTCCTCCCTATTTCCTTTCTCACAGGCGGATTGCCCCCCCCTTTCTGCTAATTGCTTTTGTGATCTGATTTTCCTTTAGAATTCCTGCCGCCTGCAGGGGAGCAAAGCTTTAAGTATTGGTTATCCTTGGCAAGCAGAGCAAGTGCTGCGGTTTGCTTGGTTTGGTTTTTATAATCCTGGGTGATAAATAAAAAACCGGTCCTGTCTGCAGAGAGCGTGCCTGGACACCGCCCTGCCTAAAATTCGGGGCGCTGGGCACCCCGGGAGGGTCAGGGCTGCAGCTTTTTCAGAGAAGGGTCAAGGATGAAGTTCGAAGTTCAAGGATGGAGTTTCTCCCCCGCAGAAAGAGTCTGCGATTCGGCTTCTCTTTTCCTCTGCGGAACTTTTAGCCCCTGGGATTCCAGCTGCTGCCGCTGCTGTGCTGGCTGGGGAATTCTGGGAGCTGACGTCCAGGGGCCTCCAGTTGGTCAAGGCTGGACACCCCTGGCTGAAGTCTTGTCCTCTCCGGTTCGCTGCTCTCGGTTAACAGATTTCCTTTCAGAAGCTGGGCGAGGCTCCCCTGCGGTCGATGGTTCCAGCTCCTGAGATACGTGTTTAAAAGAGAGAAGGAGAGAGGGGGGGAGGGGAGGGAAGGGAAGGAAGAGAAAGAAAAGAGAGAGGGAGGGAGAGAGAGAGAGAAAAGGGAAAGAAGGAAGGAAGGAAATAAATGAAAGAAAGAAAGAAAAAAGAAAGAAATGGGAAGGAAGGAAGAAAGGAAAAAAGGAGAAGGAACGAAGGAGAAAGAGGAGAGAGAAAAAGGAAAAAGAAAGAAAGAAAAAGAAAAAGGGAAGGAAGGAAGAAAGAAAGAAAGAAAGAAAGAAAGAAAGAAAGAAAGAAAGAAAGAAAGAAAGAAAAGACACTCTGAGCTTATAGCTTGGTCCCCCCCTGCCCCCCACCCCGATGCCTTCTCCAGGTCTCTTTCCCCAAAGCCCATCCTCCACGTTGCAGGCGAGTCCTGGCAGAAAGGCTGGCGGTGGGGGGGGGGGCAGAAGGGACCTGGGGGCTTCATCCCGGTGGTGGGGGGGCAGGTGATGTCTGAGCCAGCCATGGGGCGGGGGGGAGGGACGGACTTGGGAGCTTCCGTGTGTCTCCTCCTGGGCTTCTCCTCCGGGACACGTTTCACGAGTGGAAGGTGGGGAGACACCGGCTCTCCCAAGCTCCCCCAGCTCAGCCCCCCCCTTCCTTGAGAAGCCAGCAGACCCCCAAGCCCCCCTCCCCACATCCCCCCTTGTGCCCCTGGAGGGGGGGCTGCCATCCTCCGTGCTGCAGGCCAGGCGTCCCTCCCCGGCCAAGCCCGTTGACAGGGGGGGGGGCTCCTTCCCGACAAGGGTGTGTGTGTGTGTGTGCGCGTGCCTGTGTGTGTGTGCCTGCTGTCCTGGGGGTGATGGATGGCCCCGCAGAGCCAGCTCTCCGGCTGGAGGAATTAATGGCATTTGCATAATCTGCCCCAGCAGATAGTGGCCGGAGTGGCTGCAAGAGCCACACGTGGTCCTCAGCAAAGACCCCCCCCGTCCCCCCCTCCTCCCGACTTAGGAGGTGAAAAGTTGAAGGGGGAAAACCAAGAAAATCCCGGTTTCTGGGCCACATAAATTCTCCTGCCCTTGTCAGGCCCCCCCAGCCCGGTTGTGTGTTTGCAGCCGCTCTCCACGTGCGGAGAAGCTCGGCCTCTGAGGGGGGGAGGGTGGGGGGGAGCCCGGCCACAGAGCCCACCCGGCCCAGCCGCGTGTCCACAAGATGGATGGGCCGAGGGAGGGGCAGGGCTGCCGCCCATCCATCACCCTGGCCTGTCGGCTGGCCTTTGCTGGCAGGGACCGGGCTCTGCTCTCAGAATACAGAACAAGAGAATAACGGAGTCGAAGGGACCTTGGAGGTCTTCTAGTCCAGCCCCCTGCTCAGGCAGGAGACCCTATCCCAGTGGAGGCGAACCTATGGCACGTATGCCAGAGGCGGCACTCAGAGCCCTCTCGGTGGGCACGCGTGCCATGTCCCGGAGATGGCGAGGGACTGGCCCCCACTGCCCTGGCCCCGCCTACCCAGTCTGCCACGACCACCGCGGCCACGCCCACCTGGCACCCGGCGATAAATAAGTGGGTTTTGGGTTGCAGTTTGGGCACTGGGTCTCTAAAAGGTTCGTCATCACTGCCCTATCCCATTCCAGACAAGTGGCTCTCCAGTCTCCTCTTAAAAGCCTCCAGCGTTGAAGCACCCACAACATCTGGTGGCAAGCTGTTCCACTGGTTAATTGTTCTCGCTGTTAGGAAGTTTCTCCTTAGTTCCAGGTTGCTTCTCTCCCTGATTAGTTTCCATCCGTTGCTTCGTGTTCCGCCTTCAGGCGCTTTGGAGGATAGCTTGACTCCCTCCCTCTTCTTTGGGGCAGCCCCTGAGATATTGGAAGGCTGCTATCATGTCACCTTTAGTCCTGATACAAAATGGGCAGAGTTGGAAGGGACCTTGGAGGTCTTCTAGTCCAACCCCCTGCTCAGGCAGAAAAAGCTAGACCATTTCAGACAGAAGTGACTGTCCAGTC